TATTACTCTATGTTGTACTTAATAGGATGAGTTAACCATTTACTTACCTTGCGTAAAGCTGATCTTCAAAACTTCTTTAATACTAATTATTAAATAACTGATATTTTCCAAAATTCTTGATAAAAATTTGTTATAAATAACGAAGAAACCAAAAATTTTTCTGGTTTAAGAACAACAATTATAGATATACCATTAGTAAAATACCAAAAATTATATTTATCTTTGTTAAGTGTTATCCCAAAATAAACGTGTCATAAAGCAGAAAATAATATAATATAATTTACCATAAATCAAACAAAAGACAAAATCCAATTTTCAAATATCATCTATCTATATGAAATTTGGAATATTACACAGAATTAAAAATAAAAATCTATAAGTTCTATATTAGCATCTATAAATTTACCATAGAAAAACAATTTAAATAATTCGATATATACTCTGTCACAAAAGAGAACAATCTGTAGGCCATCCGATTTTGGGTCAGAGCTAAGCATCCCTTATCAACTATCTAGTGTTAGCATGATCACGTGGTTCTCGGGGAGCCAATGGCATCATTCATTCACAATGCACAAAAAGTGATTGTTTTCTTTAGAGACAGAGTATAGGTATTAATAAATTGCATACAATAATTGTCAGTTATTGATTATTACTATAAAAATAACTTATATTCTAAGTATCTATAAAATAGGAAATAACCTAATTAATTTGAATAAAAATACAAGTCATAAGGGATAAGAACAAATTATATGAAAACTTCTTATAGAACAGATTCAATCAAATTTGTAGTTTTTTAATAGTAAAAATACAGAAATTCCCATATAAAAGAATTTATGTACTTTTTATCCAAAAGCATTGGCGTCATTTAGGTGGCGGAGTAGGGGCAGCAAGGTAGGCATTTACCCGTTTTGTAAAGATGAACAATGGGCCTGGTGCCCAGTTGTTGCCGCACAACAATTATTATATTTTATAAGAGTTAAACATGTATACTTTATAATATTTTGATAAAAATTGTCGGAATATATTTAGGTATATTTAGACAAATTAGGAGACTTTCATGAAAGTGGTATGTATATATTTTATGAAGGAAAAGGAATATATTGTTCATTGTCGTATGTTGTATATATAACAATAATAATAATTAATATCAATATCATAATGCCATGTAGTTTTATTTCTAAAATCTAAAATGAATACAAATTTTAAAAACAACAACCAATTGGCACTCGTGACTGTTGTGTACAGTGTTCTATTCTTCATTGTGTTGAATTTAGTTTGGACAGTTTAGTATATTAAAATATAATTTTTTTGGCGTGTTTTCATTCATTTTTAGTATGAACTAACATCTTAAAAAATTGAAATGGATGGTGTGGTGAAAACAGAATGAGCCAGAAACAAAAGTTAGAGCAAATTGCTCAAAAATTGGAAACAATTTCTAATGTGTTTAAAAAAACAGACAAAACTAGAACCGGTAAGCAAGAAATAAAAATAATATTTTACAGATTTTATTTTGTATGTACAGTTGATTTATAAAATACCTTCTACAGAGGTAGTTTATAAACTGTTTAATTTATACCTTAAATTTTCGAATAATCTTGTTACCTAGTGTTTAAAAAGGGTGCAACAATGATATGCATATTATCCACATAAATATGTTCTTGCGAGAGGGCTTTTCTCAAGTAACCCATTTGAGCTGGTCAAAACTTAAAGCCCCCTCTATTGAAAACTAAAATTAAGCCACTGGTTTAAAGTAATGAATATGTGAATACATTAAATAAACACAAAAATATACTCATTATGCATAAAACAAGTGTAATTATATTGAATAATGCACAATAGTTTATTTTAACTGATAATTTGTCTTTGTCTTACATACATGGAATATAGTAAAATTCAATCTCAGATTGTCATCACAAAATTTCAAAATAACATATGGGGTGATTTTTAAGGATAATTGATTTATTGACCGCAACTAAATCAATTCAGCTCATTATTTGAATGTTAACACGAGATCTCTAAACATACCTCATTACACTTATTTAATTATTTAATTTGTCTTTTTAAGTTCATCTGTTATAAGACTAACGATTTATATTATGTTGATATTATAATATCATATTGATTGTTATGTGACTTTAACCAGTGTTGCTAATGGTAATTAACTAATATCATGTAGCTTCAAAAGTCAAAACACTGTAATACGTTCTGTAGGGGCAGAGGTCAAGTTATGTCAATTAACTTGAACATTTTTACGCAAAATATATTTTACACATATAATTGTACACCGGACCGTAGGTACTTTACTACCCATAGACTAAAGTCAACAGCTTTTTCTGAATATTTTCACTATAAACTAGGTACCTATGTTTATTAGATTTACATAAATATTGACAGTAAGTATTGTAATGTGTTAGAACACATGTCCAATACCCAGAGTGAAATAGCAACAATACGTAATAACTTTATAATACAACTTTTTAAAATTGTGTAGATATGTTTTACATTAGTCACATGCTGCCATTTACTAGGTATCAGGTAAAATGTTAATTTTTCCATAATAATATTTTCAATTTATACTGAAACTGAGTGGCTGAACATTTTGGGTAAATAGGTATTTTAACCAATTTATAAATCAATTTAATGATGTATTAAAACGTAATACAAACTATTCAATATCTCAAATAACCCTGATTAAATTTTGAAATAAAATAGGTAGGTATAATTAGTTTAACTTACTTCGCAAATTTACTTATCGTCTGGAAATATGTAAGCACCGTAGTTTTCAAGTTTCAATTTTATATTTACAGACATTACACTCACGACTATGAGAGTATGAGACATTTAAACGGAACACGCATCAAAGCAAAATCTCAAATCTTTAATGATTGTTTATTGACTGGTGTCTACACATTAAAATAAAACATTTTTTAATTTCTATAACGTGCAATGAGAAATGGCAATCGAACAATCAAAACACAACATTATTATTATACGTGAAAACTGTATTCAGAATTCGTGAATCATTATGATAAATATTAAATTGTAAAATCTTTGACCATATTACACCATGAACATTATATTATCGGTAAGTATTAAATGGTAAATAATAATATCGACAAACTTGGTGAACATCGATAATCGATATAACAATGTTTTGTATGAAATCTATATCACCGGCCAGTGTTACCATGTTAAGCAGGTTAAAAGTTATCGTAGATTGTTCGAATTGTTAAAAATGATCATAATAATTATTATTATCACACATGGGACGGGACGATGGCACGCCAAAAAATCACCCGACATAAAGCCATGCTATAGTGACACAAGGTCATACGACTTGACACCATCATCATAATCCGACAAAATGTAATCGTACCACACTACCAAACGTATGACACGATGTGGTACAGTTTTTAATATTTAATATTTATACTGACAAAAGTCACTTAATAGGCGATAGGTATATGTGGCCCTAATAAATATATCCCGGTAAAAAAAAAATACCTATCCGCCCATGGGCGAAGGGAGGTCCCTTGAGCTACTATATTTGTGTTACTTAAATGAAGTTTACGAGTTAGGTTATGCATATATTTCCTGGTTCGTCCTATAACATCCAAAGTAGATACAAATATGTTTCACACTTCTCTGATGTCATACACAAAATTTTATTTTGCTATTTTTTTTACATATTTACGGTCTTTACCGCTATTTTGCTAATTTAAGGGTTTTAGTGCTATTTTTTGGGTATATTTTCATATAATTGCATATAGTAGGAGCTATTTTGGAGTTATAAATGCTGTTAATGAGCATATTTTTAAAAACTAAATTACCTACCAAACAGCCGTCTACGAGTATGTGAACGAAAACAAATTGTTTTATGTTAAAATCATGTCAGTCACATCGTACTATCGAACTGTCATCGGATTCGTTGTATTATCGTGTTGTTGTATTAACTATGTACTAATAACTGAAAAAATCTGTACAATTAAATATATCTTAAATTTCATGTTCAAAAAAATTCGTTGAAAATTTTATTTTGCATATTTTCCAATTTGTAGTGCTATTTATAGCGCTTATATTAATGTTTTTATGAGCATATTTAAGCTCTAAAAATGAATATTTTTAGTGCTTTAACTTCCGAGTTCTGATTATATACTAATATTGAAATATTGTTTTTACCTTGTGACCTGTTCCTAAAAACAATGACAGTAATTTATTTTTGCACTATCATTTTTAAAACACTGACTTGTATAGTTTTCAAAAAAAGTTATTGAAAAATTTGTTATGAGTGCGTCAAAATAGAGAGTTGTGCGCATGCAAAAAACACCGAAAATTGTGCACTCCGTTAGACTATGACGAATGGTACGATAACACTCTTTTAGTCTTATAAGTCTATATTTTTCAACGATAATTCTTTTCAAGAACATAAGTCCGTGATAAATTAAATAGGTGCCTATGTTAGGAGCTTCACGATACCCATTTCTGTGACATAAGCATTTCGTCAACAGCGACAACAGGTGAGCAGTAGAATGCCAGTTGAGTCGGGCATCATGCGTCCGGCCGAATTCCCTTTTTACTCACATAATATAAAAATACCTCCGCGGAGGTTCACGTTCGACGTCCGTGGGCGATACTGTTGTCCGCTCAGCCACTTGTCGTCTATAAGGACCACGAGCGCCAAAGTGGCCGTTTGACCGTTTCCCGCTTACTGCGTAACCGCGAGGCTACGCCGCCGTCGACGACCATCGATTACAATATTATCGATTTTCCGACCTAGCGAAATCTTAAGCCCGTATACGAAGCTGACGCCAACGCGGACGTGCCAGTCCTGACTCCTGACTGCTGCGAGACCGACGACACCCTTGAGGGCAACGACAACCCGAAGCCGCCGGAACCGTTTGGCCGCCCGATGACTCCGTCTTAGGTGTGGCGGGTGACGAGTCTGGCTCACTTGAAACCCTGAGCTACCGGTTACCACACCTTCCTGTACTCCCAGTATTGCCGTCACTGGCATAGGGCATGGTCCAACACCCGTTCACGCCTCTACCGACTTAAAGGAGCTTCACTGCAGGAACGAGCCACCAGCTGCATCCAAGTGCATTCACCGCTTGGTCCCGGAGACATACACATACCGTACATGTGACTGACTCTGGGACGCTTGGCCCCTGGCCTGAATAAATTCCAACACTAGTGTGAGTAGTGTCCCAAATAAATCTTAGACAGACACCATCCACAGGGTTGGTTGTCCGTTTTATTGGCTTAAACATCAGTTGATAATATTAATTAGGTATATATATTTAAATTTAAAACTTATCTTTTTCAAAAGCTTTATCCAGGTTACTGAATATAATTCAAGATGATAAATACAGAATACAGAAATAGTAGACAACTGCTTGAAATATTCTAAATTCTTACCACTATTCAACTATTGCATCATCTCCTGCTGGCACTTCAGCTGTCAACTCGTTTACTACCTATGTTGGTACTTAAAACAATTGTTTTTGGTTTGTTATTTATTTATTCATACCTAAAAATAATGATATTTATTTAGTGGTACATATAGGTACATGGTCTCCTAGTTTTTATAATCATATTTTAGTTTAAAATATAAACTATCAGAGCCCGTAGTACTGCTTTATTTTTTGGATTTGAACGAAAAAAATGACCAGCGGTTACAATTTTAATAGGTATTAAAGTTGTATTATTATAGTATTTATTTTTAATTTTCCGACAAAAACTTAATTCCCTTTGATGATAGTTAGTTAATTTAGATGATTTTTGTCGATATCATTATAAAAGATACTGAACATAGTTGGGCTCAAATATACGATGGTATTTTGGCGGGTGGCAGTTCATCGGATTATGATAATGGCATTTTGTCAAAATGGCCTATTCTTGGTATTCTATGGGCTTGTGTCGTGTGGCTTTTTGAGGTGTTCGACTTGATAATACGTAAATATTTCAGAAAACTGACTAGAATTCGTTGCAATGACTAGAATGTCACTATCAATCATAAAGTTACAGTAAGACACCAAACATCTAAAACATTTTTTTTATCAATAATCATCGTGGTAAGGTGATTTATAATTTATTTCGTATCATGAACTAGAAGTTAGTGCAACAAAATTATCTTACGAACCAGAGTTAGTGAAAACTTCAAATTAAGGGAAATATTTACTCTCAGATTTTAACCCCTGGTAATTTTGGCCGCTGGGCGCTGGGTCATATCAACGTACCGCCCAAACTCCTCGACGGCATAGGGCCAGATCCTAGTTACAACCAACATCTGTACTCTGTAGAGAATAGATCTTGGATCCAATCCACCTAGCAAGTCGCAAAGGCATATGTCGGTATATAATATTATCTTAGTGCTTATCACGGACTATAGATAGACCTATTATCTATTATCTCACCAGCAACCATATAATTGATATGTTATGAACTTGTGATAGCATAATACTAAATTTAAGTATTAACTAAATATCTAATGTACTTTTCATCTGATTCCTACGAAATCTTCATCGAGTTAGTTAAAAAGTATTTCCCATTAAATTTTAACTTATTAGTTCAATGAATTTAGTTCAATCTGTACCTTAGTTTTGTTAGTAAGCCGTAAGTAATAACACATTTTGAGCAAAAATGTCTTATGATTTTAAGAAAGAAGAAGATGTTAAGGAATATATTAAAAACTTAGGGATTGAATATAGATTTGGCTGTTTTAGTGAAAAAGATGCTCAAAGTAAATTCAGAAATCGATATTTATTTTTTTTATTTTAAATATTTGAAGTAACAGAACTTGTATTATTATACGATTTGTAGCATGTCAGTTGCTTGGTGACTACTTAGAGACTATAGAAAACAACCCAGATAAGGCAGCCAAAATATATAAAGAAAATTGTGATGAACGGAACTTTGGTCGCAGTTGCTATAAGTATGCTTCCTATGTGGAAAAAAATAACTTGAAAAATCTCAAACCAGTAATTCCTGAGGTAATGAGAATATTTATTTTAGTGAATACCTATCCATTAAAAGTTTTTTGTTATTCAACATTACAACTGTGAAGTATATATTATATTTATAGATGATAAGATATTTTGAGAAAGGTTGTGAATATAATTGGTCTGATGGATGTTTTGCTGCTGGAATGAAACTGCGTTATCACAGTGACTCAATAACTGATGTTGATGAAAGAACAAAAAGTTTACTTAAAGCAAGTTTTTAGGTAATACTTAATTTAAATTAGATTTTTAAATAACAAAACCTGTCTGTTTTAGAGTCTGCAATACTTAGAAAAAGCATGTGACAACAGGCATTCAGAAGCATGTTATGTAGCCAGCAATATTCATTTTGTTGGCATTAAGGAAATTGGATTAGAACCTAATAAGCCCAAATTTTTAGAATACTCAATAAAAGCATGTGATCAAAATGAATTGAAAGGTTGTGTTAATGCATCAATTATATATAATAAAGGTGATGGTGTACCTAAAGATTTAAATCTTGCTCAGAAGTATAAAGACAGAGCATTAGATATACAAAAACAAATCAAAGAAGAAAAAGGTGTTAAGTTTAGTTAATGGCTTTACTAGGATCTTTTAATAATTGTTATTAGTTATCATTAAAAAAACAAAAATGATGAGTTGTATATTGTTTGTTGATTATTCTAATCAGTGATATTGTTCATTGATTATTGATATTGATATTAAATATTAATAAAGTTTACATGTTTATTAGACTCTAAGTTGTGAAAAATTGTCATAATTTACATTTTATACCTAAAGGATTTGATAGACGGTATGAAATGAAATACCAGTCAGAATACAATATATAACTAGTATAAACATACATTTTTTGCAAAATAATCTTATATGATTGTATAAATAAGTCAATCATAACAAATATAGCTTTATAAAATCTATTCTGTTGCCAATATTTCTAACCAAAAAAGGGGGAAAGTAGGTTTAGTAATAACCGTTTAGCAGTAAAGTAAGTAGTAGGTGTCTAGTGTATCTCGTCATTGAGTAAGTCACTGTGAGCTAAGTTTTAAATTTAAATTCAATGATCAATCATTGCATACGAAAAACAATTCTGAGCAAAGACCTGACAGCTTATATTACAAAGTATGTTTTCTGAAATATTTATATTGCTGTCAATGAAATCTATTTTAGTAATATTAATATTTAATAGTAGGTTTGTGGTATATTTGGTAATAGCATAAAAATAATCTTGATGTTGTGAAGATATCAATGACATTGGGTATAAAATATAATAATTGAAATAAGTTTAGAACTTCCACAAAATAATGAAAATCATTATTCTTTATTTAAATATCTACTTCACTCAAATTTGAATTTGAAATGTCATTAAAATATTGTGGTCGTGGATTCTTTGTTTCCAGAATTTGTCAGAAATTGGTATAGCATAAGTATTCCCAAATATTAAGAAAAGTACTTGGACATTATTACTTTGTAAGACCCCTTACACTGAATATACTAGATTCACTTTTGTAACAGAAAAGATATTGAAGTTAAAATCAAAACATTTTGTCTACTATGGAAAATATCTTCATACATACACACAAAAAAACATTGTAAAATTAAACATTCATCTGTCATACTTTATAGCTTTTAAAGTTATTCATTGCTCAGTCTAAAAAATATTGTAACGCAGATTTTGATTTTATTGTCGTTACAAGTGACTTTCCATAAACATAATATTTATAACCTTAAAATTAGTGTTATTCATTTATAAGGAATAAATAGTAATTAGTGTAGTGTTTAAAGTTAAAGTAATATTAACAGATTTAAGATAATAAAACAAGTTGTACATTTTAATGAAACTTATTTAAACAAATTCATTTTTGTCATTTAATGATAAATACATATATAACATATTTCTATTATTTATAAAATAGTTAATTCTGTACAAGTTAGAACTAATTAACATTTAGTTATTTACAGGAAAAAAATGTACACATTCAACAGTTATTTTGATGATTGTCATGATAATAACATAATAACAAAAAATAAAACATTTTTTATTTATCTCTTATTTTTCCTCCTATTAATAATATTGGGTCTTGATGGAGATTGTTCAGTTTCAGCAGACCTAATTTTCTCATCAAATTCCTTACAGATATCATTAAACATTTCTCCATTTTTAGTAGCCATCATAACAATGTGTTTTTCAAAAGCTTTGGGTACTAATGTTTTCAAAATCTTTAAGTCTTCATTGCTCACTTCACCACGGTCCAATCCTAAAGTGAAACCCATAGTTTTCAAAATTTCAGTGTCGTCAACCATGCTAAATTTATCATTGAAACTCATTCCATATTGTTTTTGGTCTTCTGATATTTCTATTTCAACAGATGTATCTTCATTTGCACTAATTGCCATAAAAGGTAGATTGACAAATGTATTATTAGGTGGAGGGCCAAATTCATTTTCCATATCCTGATTACGTTGAACTAAGCGTTTGATAGCTACTTCTTGCATAATGATCTCTTGAAGAGCTAAAAGTTTTCTTTTCACACTATTGAGGCGGTTTTCTTTTTCTTGAACAAGATATACACTGTTTTGTATGGACCCAGTTGGTAACCCTTTCCAGGTTATATCTTTTTTATTCTTGGCAATTATATCTAAAGCCATTAATACATTCAAGGCATCATACACACGGCGTCTAATATTTTTTTGATCATATAGAAAGGTAGGACTATCACTTTTGCCAACACATTCAGCTACTAATTCATCTGCTACTTCTTTGTATGTGGTAACCATTTTAGTTTTAACCTTATCACATACTCTTTTTGAGAAATGTCTCAAACCTTTGTTAGCTTTTATGGGACGAACTTTATATGGGCTTTTTTCATTAGTATATGTAGAACGAAATTCATTCGAAGTAAGTTGCATAGGTAAATAAGAAATCTTTGTAGAATCAAGAAGTTTTTTAGTAGTTTTGGTCATACGACCTTCTAATAAATCATTTAAAATGTCTGTTCGTACAACAACATCGGAGTTGACGTCATTATGCAATTTACTTTTAATGGGTTCTTCATGTCTTATGTCTTCTATGAATTCTAAATCACTATCACTAGATTGATCTAAATCATCACCACGGACGACAATAACTTCAGGATCTTCTTGATATTCACAATTTATTTCTAGATCATCATAACTTGAATCTGACATAGGTTCATCTTTTGTCTCTGATGAACTGTCATCAAAGAACTCTGGAGAAACAGTGATAATTTCAGTGTTGTTTTCTTTTAAGTCGCTCATTCTAATAATTTTTCTCATTGGCTTTTGTTGCTGTTTTTCATTAAGATCCTTCACTTCTGGTTTTCCATGGCCACCATTTACACTACGATTTCTAGTTGGGAAACGGACAACTTGAGAGTTAGCACGGCGGTCTTTTACCACAAACTTTCCTCTGCCTGACATGATGTTGTCAATTTAACTTCATAGAGCATCTGCGAAAAAAATTAAAATAATTATACAACATTTTTTGATATAGGTACCTAGGCAGTCTAAAACAAATTGTTTGATTTTAAGTTCTTAGTGGGCCACATAATAAATTCTAGAGGGTCACAGATTAAGTAAGGTTAGAACATAAAGTTAACAATCAGTCATCTGTTAGCAAAAAATGGATTAAATAATTAAAATTCGATATTAGAATGAAACATGAGGGTTTTGAAAGAAAAAACCTGTGCATAACAAAATCTACAAACGAATGATTTAAGGGCACTGTATTTAGGAGGAGGAACCATGACTCTAAATAACTTTTTTAGCAATGGAGGTGACTCTAACCGTGTGAGCCTATAACATGGTGAAAGTGGTCTATATTTAAATATGTAATAAGTAGTAAAACACAGTGAGCAGACACAAGAGTGACTAAATTATGCCAGGAACGATTGTAAACCTTGGAGATTAGAGCCTCCGAACTTAGGGGAATTGACATGACATGGAATTTGAAAAAAAGCACGCGATCAGTTCACCTGGGACGACATTCGGCACCGGTTTCAACATACCTGGTTGTGCTGAGAGTGCTCGACTGCATAGCCCGAGTGCGCATTGACACCAACCGACATTCAAACAGATCTGAACCGTTGCAAATTGCTACAGGTCGAGACTGTCGTCGAAGCTGGGAATGTCGACAGTCGACAGCCGACACGGAAGTCGAATCGGATATTCGGATCCCGGACCCGGACGGCGGCGAATAATACGAATTACGAACGTGCAAACAAATTTCCTCGCATTTCATGGAACAGTAAAACCTGTAACCACGACGGGCGCAGGCTGTTATCACAACGAAGTACGAGTCCTTGCCGTTATCAATTTGCTCGTGGTGCCGCGCGCCCGCGCGACAGCCGCGCCAGTCACGGAATATGTTGTTGTTGTTGTTGTTTGTTGTTTACACCGCTCATCATAACGTTGGACGGAGGAGACTCGCGCACGCACAGGCACAGTTCGTCATGATGACGGGGGAGGGGGGACAGGCTACCAGTACGCCGTCTGCCACATAAAACCGAAACCCAAAATGGCCGACCGCCGTACGGTCATAACGACGCCGCAGTAGCTTTTTTCGTCGGAACGTTACGTGCCGCGAGCTTTCTACGTCGTCCGGACAGCAAATAGAGCACTGAGCACGACGCACTAGGACAGTGGTGAGTACAAGCCGTTCGCGACCTCGTCCGCCGTTTTCCGGTCGCCGGCGTTATTTTTTGGTTGGTATGGGGACCGGGAGGCCGTCGGCCAACACTGGGACGACAATGCTGTGCAGGCAAATGTTTTTTCATATTGGCAACTTTGGTTCCGACCGTTACAGGTTGTCCATTTTTCGGCGGACACGGACGGACGTTATTTTTTCTCGCCCGCGCTACTATATTGCGCGTGTAAATGTGAATTTCGTAATTTGTACGGTGTCGCCCGACCACTCGATCTGCGAAGTGCGCGAAGCTCACCCGGGCCGGTCGTCGCGATTCCGGACGGTACTGTTTTTCCGGCGGAGTGCGGCCGCGACGCCTCGTAGACCCGTTAATTTCTGTACCAGTTTTCAGTTTTTTACTCACGACGTCTTTACAGTAAAAATTACTAATTCCCGCCGACGACTTGGCTTGTTAATTGGCCTCGAGTCGTTATGAAATCGGTGACGATACGTTACACGTACCGTAACGGCGGACGAACGCGTCTTCTTGACGAAAGAGTAATTCGTTATAAGGTTTTAGTCTCTAGCTGGGCCGATTTGCCGAGCTTTTGATTTTTTTTTTTTGCAATTTCTCCGTCAACGTCACATCGAGAAAATCGTAACATATATTTTATATTATTTATTTTGTTAATGAACAGAACGATGATGTCCGAAAAATCACTGTTGTTTCGCGTATACCCTCTAATTGCTTTTGTTGAAGACGGTCGCAGGTATCCGATCGATATATTACACCCAATCAGTTACTACATTTTTAGTGCAATAAACCGTGTGAAGGAACATAATTTTAATTATTATTTTATAGTTTTTCCAATGTTATAATCAAAAAAGTTCGTTTATTGTTGATGTTTCGTGATTGCAGTCTTTGCCATCAATCATCCAACCACTTTTTCCCTCCAAAAGTATATTCATTGGAATATTGTTATTAATAATAATATTTATTTAGTTTTGTGTCTAGTTTGTTAAACTCTCAAGTTACCTTCAATAGAGGATTTGACTCTGCTTTTAGTCTGTCCAAACAAAATCCGAATCATTTTCTTG